TCCAGATCTATACGGAGCTGTGTGGAGTGGGCTGTAGGCTAAAGTGTGCCTCAGTGTGTTCTGTCTAAATGAATTAAAGAGGACCCCAGTTTGATTTATATTGAAGTATTTAGTTCCTGTGTCCTCCCTTTAATGACAGGATGCTCTTGAACTTGTTTTCAACCAATCCAATGTCCAGTCCAATGTTGCTCTAGTTCTAGATTCTGTTTTTAGTTTTACAGATTGCATTTATGTTTGTTTTTTAAATAGTGGATATTACTTACTTTTTATTATTTTATTTATTTATTTTTTTATGCACATTTTGTCAATTAAGTAGCTGCAAATAACAGAACAATTACATTTTCAAGTTGTGATAGCAAAACATGTAAATATGTTGTTCATAATGTTTGGTGTCATCTCAAAAGGTCGAGTCATTCGTAATCTTCCACGGCGGTCAATTTCCAAGTTGCTTATTCACAGTTCACGGATTACATACAAATTACAGTTTTAAAAATGTTTGGGTGAAAGATGAGACAAAAATCTCAGCTCGCACACCTGAGGAGAGTTGTGTGAGGTAATATTATGGTCCGAAAAGAAAGAGAAGAGAAAAGACTACGAGAGGAGCAAAGTAAGCTAAAGCAAACCTTTTACTCTCCACTCAATACTGTATTTTGAAGTGAGCGCTTCGACACAAGAACACGAATGAAGTGCTTTTTTAGCTTGACTTGAAGTGAGTGAATAAATACTGTAATATTTTCTGTTCTCCTCCTGCGTCTCATACGTTTTTGTGTGTTATTGTATCTTATTGTATGTTATTGTATGTTATTTTATGTATGTTATTCCACCTCTCCTTGATGCACAGCTTTCTTATCTGCTGTTGTAAACTGTTTTTACTTATGACATCACAGAGAAGTTCACAGATGCACACTGTAAAAATTAGACATTATAAACACAATAAACAAAACACAATCCCACCAAGTTTTATAAAGTCAACGACTGCCTTTGACAATGTGAGGGAGCTAATATACATAATTTACTGATATAATATAATATAATATACATAATTCACTGTGCCTCAACAAATATGTCACCAGTTGAACATAATGACAAACGTTTTTCTGATTTATTGTCGACGGTAGGGACGAGACATGAACAAAGTTTCACAGAATGCATGTGATGTTAAAGTATTGACTGTCCAATCAGCATTTGCCACGATGCCAGTGGTTTCGGCCTTGAGATAAACCAAAGCAAGTGGAAAAGAACTAGAGCTCCAGAATGTGTTATAATGATGAGTTCAGCTGCAGTTCCACAGTTGCTTCAAAGTGTTATAACATATCCAAAGTTTATAGAACTTTTAAAAATGAAAATTTAACATATCCATCAATACATTTTTGGCAGATTTATTAAGAACATGTCACTCAAACGCAAAATATAACAAGAATGATGACTTCCTTTTTTATTACATTTTCATTGACTCCATATTTAAAATGTTCTCTGTGTATCTACTAAAATAGTACTATCCTTATTATATATTTGTATCTAATCTCAATGATTTCCTAAACCAGGACATGTCAAGCTCGGCCTTGGATATTTGACATGATGTGAAGCGTGCCACTGTTTTGTCCCTAATGCACTAATAGAATTAAAGGGGATCCATGGCCTCTCGGGAGCTTTCCGTCTGGATTTATCTGCTCCGAATGAAGGCACTGTGACAAACGTATTAGCAGATGTTGGGACAGGAAGTGCAGGAAAAGTAGCTGTTTTGAAATCTCAGCGCCCCATGGGGAAATAAATGTGCAGGGAGCTGTCAGGCGAGTAGACGTATTAGTTATAATGTCAGAGGTGAAGCAGGGGTCTAATGGGCCATTGGGATAATGTTGTTGTTGACAGATTCTGCTGGAAAAAATTACATAAGGCACTTTTGTTACACTTGCGATATTAGAGCTGGTGAACCCTGAGAAGTTCCTGTTTCCACTCACCAGTGTCGATGCCACGTTATAAACATGTGATGCTGACCACTGATTATTTGGTAAACCTCAAACACATCTTGCAAAAAAAGCTGTCACCACCGCCGAGGTCATAAAGAAGACAAAAGTAATGGCCTTCTGCTCTTTTGATCAAAAACTCTAATCTAGAATTGAGTGTATTGTGTTTGCCAATGTATACAAAGCATTTAGCCAAACAGGTGAATCTAAGTGAATAGACCAAACCTGAAGTTAGAATTTTAAAGCTGCGGACATATTAATAATGGACTGATAAAAGAGGACACATTTTGACTTGGATGATGTAAGAATTAAATACTTTAATTCTGGACCATATCTAGATTACCACAAATAAACATTAATACAATGTTCTCGCACCTTTTGAGGATCACCAACCAATAAGTGACCTTGAAATAAACTTCCAATCACAAATACTGTCTATTTGTGATTGGAAGTTTTTTTTTTTTTTTTTTAGGTTAGAGGTTTAAGCAGAGGCATTCTTTATTCAATACAGTTCCATCAGTAGAAAATAGCAAACAATCTGTCTGACATTCAGATAACTGTGAATACATGCACAGTATTTTTAAGACGTACATGGAAAAAAACATGAAAAAGACCGTTTTCAACCCTGCTTATATTTTTTTGAAGTACTGTATTGTTTCAGCATTTCAAGTATATCATAAAGTCCCAAACTGTCATTGTGTCCTTAGACCAACATTGCCTAGAATGAGTCGGGTGTGTGTGTGGTTGGTTGGTGGTGGTTGGAGGGGCCAATGCCACACACTGGGTACCTCGCTTCTGTCAGTGAGCCCCAGGGCAGCTGTGGCTAGAGTAGCTGTCTATCACTGTCTATAGCACTATATGAAATCAATGCATTTCATTTTTTTATTCTTCAGCTTAGCAGTGCAACATAACACGTACGGCGTGGGCGTTTTGAGGAATACAAGTAGACACTGGCAGTATGGCACAAATTGTCCAAATAAACATGAAATAGCGACTTTCCCTGCCCCTGTAACCTGATCTTACTCACCTTCATACTGATTACTAGGATAGCAAGAAGGATGACTCACAATACACCCACCACCTGCCCCCTACTATTCCCAGCATCACATAGCATTTCATTTTTTTCTCTTTACTTTCAAGTGCTTTTCTGTCTTCTTATTCATTAGATTTACAAGCTGTAAAAATCCCTGCCATAGTAATAGGTTGAGAAAAAGATTGTTTTTCCAAGCGTCAAGTTTCAAAAATAGTCCCCGGGGCTTTTGAGATTTTCCTTGCAAAGATAATGATAGCCCAGAATTTTGTATGGGTGCAATAAAGTGTTTCTCAAAATGTGGGAAGGGTGCACAAGCATTGACCTTATATTTCAGAAAAGTACATGTTAACTCCTGACAATGAAAAGAAGACATTCGAGTTAAAAAGCTCTACTGATGGCACTCTAAGTACATTGTTAGGCCAATCATAATCAAAGATTATTTTCATTATTTAATTATTTCCTTTTATTTGTTTTATTATTCATTTAATTCCTTTAGTATCAATGATAAAGGAGCAGAAAGAAAAAGAAGAAAAAGCGATGTCAGTCCCATGTCAGTTTATTTGAGTAATCTGAGACATCATTTGTCATTTCCTAATGTCAGTGTAGTTTATTATTCTGACTCTGTGTTAAACAGAGTTCTGACTCTGTTTAATACTCTGTTTAATACAGAATCAGAATGCAACAATATTTGTTTTTTTGCACTGTGCATTATTTTTCTCCTGATTTGCTGCACCAGAAGAACAACATGACTGCTAAAGAATTCTCCTGCAGCATGGGTGTCAAAGTCAAGGTCCGTGGGCCTGATCCGGCCCACAAATGAATTATCTTGGCCCTCTGTACAGAGCCATAAGACAATATGGGATTATTCATTTAATGTTCAGGACATTTCTCTTTGAAGGAAGTATGTTTTTTGTCTGTTTTCACTTGAAATGACTTGAAAACCCTAAAGTGATATCATCATGGACAACCAGTGTCAAATTATAAATCCCAAAAAATATCCCAAAAATTAATACAATTGCAAAAATGTAGTACTAATTATTATTCATTATTATGTTGAGTCCACAGATCTGATTTCATAGATTAGCAAAACCATCTCTGTCTTTTTATTTTATTTTTTTATTCATAATCATAAAGTGACAAGCATACAGGAAAAGACACAAAATACAGATAGCAGTGATAATACATTGTTGAATACAGTACAATATACAACAAAGGTACAGCTGGGGGAGTTAGGGTAGGGTAAGTATGTGTGTGTACAACCACCTCTGTCTAAATGAAACTAAACAATGAGCCTTTGCACACATGCAGAAAAGTAAGAATTTCATATAGATAAAGTAAAGTATGGCTTATTGGACATAATCGTGAAACTATTGCACTCTGGGTGAACTTGTTGCAGTATGGAGCTGTGTGTTGGCCTCACTTCTCCTCTGTGGTGACAACAGACCTCCTGATAGATGCCACAGATGTCTACTGCACTTTGAATCAATATTTTCTCTCTCTCTCTCTCACACACACACACACACACACACACACAATGATGACGCTTTTTGGCACCCAGCGTCATCTCTGCCCTGGCCGCACTTCCCTCATTTTAAATTGCATGAGAGTCTTGAGAAAAATGAACTATCGACTGCCGCAAAGAGTTCTATAGTCTCTTTGGTCAGACCTCGGTGGCTCTGAGGTCACCTGAGTCTCAGCAGACTATAAAGTGAAAGTGGTCCCCTGAGTTATGCACAATATAGTTTTGTTGATGTTGTTAGAGTATGTGGGAGATTAGATGGAGTTAAATACTGTAGCCCTCGGTAGATAGAAACTTTATTGATCTCTATAGGAGAAATAGGAGAAAAAGGCAAATCAAGATGGCTGAACACGGTTGGCACTGAGACGCCACGTCACTTAAAAACCTTTAAAACTACGCTTCCTGCTGTTGGATCTCGCAAAAGAACGAGGATAAAGACTGTAAGAAGACTGAGGATAAATACTCTTAAAAAAGAAGAGGAAAAATGCCAAAACCAAACCTGAAGGAAAGGGGCAAACAACAACCTCACGAGGACACCACTCTGGAAGACCCTGGAGGCTCCATTTCCTTGTCCGATATAATGAACGAAATCAAAATATTCCGGACGGAAACCACGGAAAACTTTGAAACCGCAAAGAAAGACATTAAAGGAATTAAAGAAGAAATCGGTCAATTAAATCTACGAGTCGGTACAGCAGAGGAACGGATCGCGGAAACTGAAAGCCGTGATATTGAATTGACCAAAGTTCTCATCCAAGTATTACGCAAACAAAAACTACTCGAGGAAAAGTGCCAAGATCTAGAGAGCCGATCGCGCAGGAAGAACCTTCGGATTTACTCAGTTCCTGAGAAATCAGAAGGAAATAATATGGTCAAATTCATTTACAAATTCCTGAACAAAAGGCTGGGAATCACTGAAGTTCGCATTGAAAGAGCGCACAGAGCCGCCCCTTTGGTGACTGACGGAGGCGCCGACAGGCGGCCCGGAACACCGAAGCGACCTGGATCAATCGTGGTCCGTTTTCAGAGTTACGTGGAGAAGCAAAGGGTGCTCCAGGCCGCATGGACCAAAAAGGACATACGAATCAAGGACAGCAGGATCTTCTTCGACGAGGACTTCTCAGCGCAGGTGTATAAGGAGCGTGCAAAATATACGAGTACAAGTACGGAAGCAATTGTATGAGCGCAACATCAAGACACGCATCCTGTATCCTGCAAAGTTGAAGCTATTTCTTTCTGATGGGAAGTACACAGTGTTTAAGGACCCCCCGACTGCAGCAGAGGGGTTGCGTGAGTTTGGGATAACAATGGAAAGTTCCCCTAAAGAGCCGGATTTGGAGGCTACCCTGCAGGCGGCAGGCTGGGAGAGCCCCCGCAGAGGCAGAGGAGGACGCGCAGATGAGCTGACCTCAAGCCTAAATACACTGCTTTGTTTGCCCACAACTCAAGTGGACACTGTCGTAACCTAAGGTATGTGGGTAAGATAGGGGATACAAAATCCCCGTGAAACAGATTGATGACATGACTGGGTTCACGGATGGTGAATTCTATCGGAGATTTGACTACGAAGAGTATAAAGTGTACGATCAGGAATACGAACTGCAATCAGAAGATTACCCAGAAAATCAACTAAATGATACATGCAAATATTACTCTGATGAAGAGCTTACTAAAAACATTGAAGCCAATACATTTTCTCTAATTCATTTTAATTGTAGAAGTTTAAAGGCAAATTTCAATAAAATCTGTGATCTTTTGCAAGTCTTAAATGGACGTTTTAAAATCATTGCGTTGTCTGAGACATGGTTACGCAATGATAATGTGTCGGAATTTAATTTAGAAGGATATGAGTTGCATCATATAACAAGGAATAATAAGAGGGGAGGGGGAGTGGCTCTGTATGTAAGTCTTGGCTTGAAGTGTCGATCAGTGAAAACAATGACAACTGCCGTTAATAATATAATGGAGTGCATAACTGTGAAAATAGAAAACGAAAAAAGTAAAAATATCGTTGTGTCATGTGTGTATCGAGCCCCTGGTGTTAATGTGGAGACCTTCACAGAGAGAGTAGATACAATTCTAGAGAATTTAAACGATAGTAAAATTTATATCATGTGTGGAGACTATAACATTGACCTTTTAAGTTTGTCCAAACACAAATCAACATCAGATTTTCTTGATGTAATGTATAGTAGAGGACTCCGTCCACTTATAACTAGGCCCACACGAATAACCATAGACTCTGCCACACTCATCGATAATATATTTACGAATATTAGAGAGGATACAGTTAAAAGTGGCATTCTTATAAATGATATATCAGACCATTTACCGATATTTATTAATTTCCATCATAGTCATATGAGTTCAGAAAAAGAGACATGCTTGAAAACGGTAAGATTACGATCGGAAGAATCAGTTGATAAGTTTAGAAATGATCTGCTATCAGAGGAATGGAATGGTATTTATGTTGAAGATGTCAACTTAGCATTTGATACTTTCTTAAATCGATATCAATTACTATATAATAAAAACTGTCCAATAATAACCAAGAAGAGAAGAAGTAACAAAAAGCCATGGCTAACAAGAGGTTTGCAAAATGCTTGTAAAAAGAAAAATAAATTATATAGGGAATTTCTAAAGTTTAGAAACAAAATTGCAGAATGTAAATATAAAATATACAAAAACAAGTTGACTAGTATTATGAGACAAGCTAAAAAAGATTATTACTCTAAAATGTTAATCGAAAATAAGAACAGTATTAAAGGGACATGGAAAGTACTACATCAAGTGATGGAGAATAGAAGTGGTACAATGAGTATGCCAAACCACTTACTAAGTGAAGAAAATAATGACATTGAAAAAAATGAAATGGCTGATGAATTTAACTCATATTTTGTAAATATAGGCCCAAATCTTGCAAGAAAAATTGACAACCCCGACCAACCGGACGTTTGGAAAGGGGAAAGCAAAATTATGAATTCCATGTATTTAGATGGAATCACTGAAACAGAAATTCAATCGACCATAGCTCTACTAAAAAATAAAACATCCACAGATTGCGATGGGTTTGATATGACGATCATAAAAATGACAATAGACTGTATATGTAAGCCTCTATGTCAGATCTTTAATCAGTCTTTTACATCTGGTATTTTTCCAAATAGATTGAAAATATCAAAGGTTATTCCAATGTATAAATTAGGCGACAAGCATTGTCTTACAAATTATAGACCCATCTCATTGATTTCACAGTTTGCCAAAATTATTGAAAAACTTTTTGTTTCCAGATTAGATGCATTTATAGAAAAACATCATTTGTTACATGAGAGTCAGTTTGGATTCCGAACAAATCGATCAACAGCCTTAGCCTTAATGAAGCTTACAGAACACATTAGTACGGCAATAGAAAACAAAAAAGTACTATTGGGGTATTTATCGACCTCAAAAAGGCGTTTGACACCATAGACCACAGTATTTTATTTCAGAAACTACAGCATTATGGAATTAGAGGGGGGGTGTTAAACTGGATTATAAGTTATTTACAGAATAGACAACAATTTGTACAGTTTGCTGGCAACACATCAGAAAAATTAAAGATTAAATGTGGAATTCCCCAAGGTTCCATTATTGGACCAAAACTTTTTATTTTATACATCAATGATTTGTGTGAAGCATCAGACATATTACAATCGGTGCTGTTTGCCGATGACACCAACTTTCTTTTGTCAGGTGACGATATAAAGGATGTAGGAAAAGAAATGATAAAAATAAGCTTAATAATGGTTTAGGGTAAACAAATTATCTCTAAATGTGAACAAAACTAAATTTATGTTATTTACCAAGTGCTATCAAAATAGAAATATTGAGTTGTGTTTAGATGGAATAAACATTGAAAGGGTAGAAGAAATTCGATTCTTGGGTGTGACCCTCGACGAGAATTTAAATTGGAAATCACATGTTGAAAATACACGAAAGAAATTATGTAAAAACCTCTCTATCCTTCACAAAGTGAAATATTTTTTAACTTATACAGCTCTGAGGATATTATATTTTACATTAATATTGCCATGTCTTTCTTATTGTTTGGAAGTTTGGGGAAATACGTATGTAACCACACTGAAGCCTTTGATAACGTTACAAAAGAAAGCAATAAGAGCCATTCATAAAGTCCATGGGAGAGAGCACACTAACCCATTATTCATAACATCCAAATTGCTAAAGGTTCCTGACCTTATAAAAACCCAAACACTTACAATAATGTATAAGGCAAGACACCATTTGTTGCCTCATACTGTACAAACACTATTTTCGTTTAAATCAGACTCTCGTCTCCGACACAAACTTAACTTTATTCTTCCTTTTGCCAGTACCACCCAGAAGTGGATGGCTATCTCAGTGGCTGGAGTCAAGCTGTGGAACTCCATGAAAGACACTTTAAAAAACTCCACAAATATTTTTCAGTTTAAACAAATATTCAAGGAAACAATAATTAAATCATATGAACTGGAAATTAAATGAAAGAGGATTATTTGTTTTGATGAGCAAACCCTGCTTGTGGCATGTTTTGTATTTGTTATTTCTTTGTGACTGATGTGTTGTTACATCAGACCATCTTGAAAAATGTTGTTTGGTTTTTTTGGAGAAAGGGGCACATAATATAAGTTTGTCTTCTTTGTGCTCCTTTTCAATTGTCTGACTACTATTATTATTTTATGTGAACATGTAAAAATGAAAGAATATTCAGAACAATTGAAATAAATAAAAAATGAAATGAAATGAAATGAAATGAAATACAGGTGTCCAGTAGCAGTAAAAATAAAAAGTGAAATTGATAATCAGCAAGAGCCCTTCAGGTCACAGCAGCAGAGGTGGAGTAGACTCTGGGTGGAGCAGGATAGGTCACAGCAGCAGAGGTGGAGTAGCCGCTGGGTGGATTAGGACGGGTCAAAAGGTGCAGTAGCCACTTGGTTCAGATAATTTTCTCTGCTCTAGTCCAATTTAAAATGCTAAACACTTCATTAGCATTTTTCAAAAAGTTAGCATTCCTCCAGTGGATTTTCGGCTGATCCACTTGGTTCGGACCATGAATCCTCTCCGCTCCAGTCTGGACCGCTCCAAAACCATGCATACTATACTGCAGCAACATCTCAAGTAGAAAGCAACACGGAAAATAAAAATTGTAAAGCACAAAACAACAACTGTTTCAGAGCTACTTGCTGCCATTTTCCAGTGCATTCAAAAGATGCATGCAATCATTCAAGCATTTTAACTTACTGACTTTTCATTTCAAGACGTCTGTTAAAGAGCAGTACATTCACCGGAAAATATGGACAGAAAGACACTTTGATTTTAAGTCTTATATACAGAGCAATTCTCGTATTGAAATTCTTAATGAACGGATGCTCACTCCAGGATTTGGCAATAAGCAACATTGCGAAATCAGTATATCCTGAAAAAAACGTTATTTTTAAGTGAAATGGGAAAACAGAGATATTGAAATAAACGTTCCAACTTTATTTTGTGGAGATCCAAAGTTAGCCGCTCATACTTTACAATCAAATCATAATTATACTTAAATCGATCTAAATTCTTGCAGATAATTTAACTCAATAATTACTGCCATTACAATACTGCTATTTCCACTCTCTTGCCTGCAACTGCTACAACTCCAACTTCTGAAAAACACCCTTTGAGTAACAACCGTATGATATTTCACTCGATCAAACTATGTCCCCACTCTTTCTACTACTCCTTTTGTCATCTCAGAGCTTACACAATTTGTGTTGCCAGTTTACAGTTTATTACCCAAAAGGCTCCACAACAGCAACAGCAATTTAGCCATCAAAAAGCGAGTACAGAAGTGCAATAGCCTTGAACGCAAATGTTTTTAAAGCCACCTCACATAACCCCACAGTTTTGTAAGTGTGCAGCATTTGACAACTAGACAGTGGGTGAATTTAGAACAGCATGAAAAGTTTTGCTCATTACTGGCCTCTGTGATCTGTCCATTGTGTTGGCAGCTCCAGTGGGCAGATGGCCAGCCCCTCCCCTGGATCCGATCGGGGGGAAGAATGAGGTTGTGTCTGTATTTATGTGCCTATTGTATGGGCTATGCTTGTTTGGGGTGTTTAGTGTTGTTCATGATGCTCTGTGTGTCTGTAAAAGGTTAGGGCATCTCACAAGACATAAATCTAAGTGTTAACAAGACTCTTCGACATGTATTGATTTGACATCGGTTGTAAAAGTAAACCCTAAATTTGTCTTTTGTTGAAATGGAGAGCAGTTCTCGTCAAGCCGGTCCACTTGTAATACTATAGTTCATCATACTAACTTTTTAATGTAATTTTGATATTTGTGGTCTAATATTTAGTTTTTTATATAATACAGCTCTTGTTTCCAGAATCTACCTGCTGGGATTTAACGAGAAATGGCACATAGAGCAAAAACCAGATACATTTCACAACAA